CGGTATACTTCGTTCAGGGTGCGTATTGTATGAACGACGCAACTTATGTTCAATTAACGAATAATTTGTCATCTTGATAAAATAAAATACTGCTAAACACATAATATTATACATTATATTAATCTAATAATTATGCATTTTATCACAAAACACGCTTAATATAAAATTAAATATTGTATTTTTAAGACATTATGATACAATCATTTAAAATACTATGAAACATGTAATTTTATCATCTACTGTGTACCTACTTTTAATTACAAATCATTTAGAATTATAATTCAATTATACCTAATCGGAACATATACAGAATATTGAAAATAAACTATGGAAATAAATAGTTTTATTCTACAATATTCGATTTCTTGATAAATCAACTTCAAGACAAATATACATGGCACTGTGTAATCCAATTCTACTATACGACATAACATGTTGGGGAGAAAAAAATAGAATAGATATTAATATATAGAATATTACTCAAAAAATAATGGTAGTAGCGTATTTCCTTCTTTTTAATTATTCATCAGAGGAATTAATCAACTATACAAATACATTATTTGTTTATAAATTATACATTAGACAAATTTTAATATAATCCATAGAAAACCTCAGACTTAATGTTATAGAAATGTTAGATAAAAGAACAGGAAAATACATCAAACCGCCATATACATTATTAACAAGTTCCTGAAACTCTCCTGATCGCATAGGTAAAATTATATTCAACAATGTAAATACTGAATTAAAGAGACTGATAAAAAATGTATGTGAGAGTCAATCTATTAATACCAATAATAGTAATAAATATAAATATAAATAAATAAATCCACTGACAATTATTAACAAATATGCAATATATTATTATTTATCATATAATTTTATTATTATGTATTAACCTAAATATCAATTATATTTAATAAGTATTATCTATCTCCATCATTGAGAACAATAATTTTCAGAAAAAAAATAATCTTGGTACTTATTAGTTATTTTAACTATCATATATTAACACTGTGTTGTACTAATTGTAGACACTTTTGTGATATAAATTAATACATTTACTTAATGTGATAACAAAGTGGTTTTCTGACATTATTGCAGGTCTATTTTATACAGCAATAGATATATTAAATATTATTAATCAATAAAATATTTACTATAAATAATAGAATGTTATTCCACAATTTATTTGTTTTGCTTTTGATTGATGCTTATTTTAGCAATACCTTTTTTTGGTATAACTATTGTCAGTAAATAAGGTAGGCATAAATCTAGTTTAGCAGTTATGCTAATTTTTAATTTTTTTTTTTTTTGAAACCTATTTACCTACTTAAGTATGCTGAAAACGATAGTATAGTCAGAATTTTGTGGACGGGCTTAGTTTCATAGCTATTAGAATATTTTTAATTTATATATGTGTTATGTTAATAGCTTAAAATGTTACTCAATTGTGTAATGTATACTCGTAGTCTAAGGTACTGAGGACAATGTAATACGCGACAGGTTTCCTAGGTTCGATCCCCTGGTAAGCACTGATTAAATTATTACACTTTTTCTAATTGTTTTTATGATAACTGATACTAATTATTATCCTGTGACCTACTTGAGGTGGTACTGCATAATTAGCTGAGAGATATTTTTGATTTGCGGAGCAGAGCGATGGTGCTGAGTGTAGCAACGAGTGCAGAAAAACGTGTAATCACTGCCCATACTACAACATAATTTGCCTAGAGGTTTTCGAAAGGTCTTTAAATAGGTCATAGGATAATCACTACTAGGCACTAGCTGTATCAGTTATCATAAACACAATTACAATTGCAAAATTTTTTAAAGTGCTCACCGAGGTCGAACCTGGGGGGGGGGCCGTCATGCATTACATGGCTCTCAGTATCATTTGACTACGAGTATACATTACACTATTGAGTAATATATTAAGCTATTGACATAACACATAACCGAATTCAAATAGCTATAACTCTAAAAATAAGTCCGTCCGCAAAATTCTGACTTCACCATCATTTACAGTATACTTAACTAAATGAGTTTAAAAAAAAAGTGAAAAATTAGCGTGGTCGCTAAACTAGATTTGTTTCTTAAGATTTAATAATTAACATAATACAAATATTATTTACTTACAATTATTTACGGTCACGAATGTCGAATTATTAGCTAGTACACACGTGTGTGGAATCTTAAAAACTGTGGTACAGATGTTATAACTTGTGACATAAAACCGCACGAGTATTGAACACTAGAGAAATATTAAATGTTTATAAATGTTGGTTTATTATACATATAGTCTTAGACCAAGATATTTTAATTGAATTAAACACTATTACACTAATAATTAAATATTACTTAGATATTGTGCTTTGCGCCCTTTGCGGTAAAACTAAACTATGACTACTATATGGAATATGCACTATTACTGTCACTAGTGTCACTGGTTTCTGGTTAAAATGTTAGTAGGTATTATAATACGTTGGTGACTGTGTTGTAACTTGTAATGTTGTATTTGGTAGGTGGAAAGAAAAGAATCGTTTGCATTGTTTGCAAATGTCTTTTTCCCTTCCACGTTTGTGCATTGTATGCATAGAATATTGTATGTTTCGAAAACAACTGATGCCAACTTATTAGCTTTTAATTCTCCGTATTTTTTTTTCTGATAACGTTTTTAATTTTTATCGAAAACCGTCGAGATAGATAAGCATTACTACAACTGCCTATCTGGCTATCTATCTCGATGTTGAAAACAGAATTCAATTTCCATATTATTAAGTAGATACATTTAAAACATCAGAGGATTCAATTTTTCTAACTCATAAATGAGCAGTAAAAATTCAAGCATTCAGAGCACAACCAAGACATGCGAATCTTTCCACAGCAAATTTAATAGCTATTTGAGCCTCCGTATTCTAATATGTATATGTTACGGTGAAAGATGAATATTGGTGAATGTCGTCATTCTCCGGTGAATGACGTCTTTTACCAAAATAATTCAATTATGTAGGTAAATGATGTAAAAAACCAGATTTTAAATTCAAATATACATCTTTCACCGGTCATTGATGTCATTAACCAAAACTATTGGTAAATGATGATAAATCTCAAATAATACACTAATTTTTTTAGTATAGGTACTATTTATAATAATGATTTATTGTTGGTGGACGTTTCATTTTTTTATTTTAGGCATTTATTTGAATGGGATAATAGGTTAACTAAAAATAATAAAATACGTGCATATTACAAATTATTTATTTGTATAATTTTGGTTACCATGATATTTTGAACTGTACAACATTTCCGCTGCATTGAAGCACATTTTTTAGTACCACAACTAGTGCACAAATTTTTACAAATAATATTATAAAACACACATTCGTAGTAAATACACTTGTTATAATATGCCCGTCGATACTACCTAATAAACTAAAAGATTATCTCATATTATTACTCGGGTTATCGACGTTATTGCTAGTTGGGATTTTCGTTTATCTATCTACTTCTGCATGATATTTTTAACTAATGAAGATTACTCGGTACCTACACGCTTATCACTGATCGTTCACATCGACAACAAAAAAGTATTAAACATCATTCTCCAATTAAACTGGTAATTGACGACATTAACCGGGGAATGTCTGCACTTACAACGTTTACCAAATTTTAGGTAAATGATGTCATTTACCGGGGAATGACGTCTTTTACCACGTTTACATCATTCACCGTAACATATACATTTATTAAAATTTTAAAATTGATTCCGATTAAGACTGTCTAATAATACAAAGTTTTAATAAGCCTATACTATGTCAACGATTAGAAAAGTTAATTTTTTTAATTTAGAACCATGGTTGATATATCAGAATCAACTTAAAAAATTAGACCTATCTGATATGGTGTTTACTGTTTTATTGCGTATGCGCACATAAAAATAATGAACATTTTGAAATGTGTACTTAATACTTATATATCACTAGCTTGTAAAAAAATTCGATTTATTCCGGCCGAGAAATTCAGTATTACCTTAATTGATAAACACACGGTATATAATATATTGATTTATCTTCAATATATTTTTAGTTAATACCTGAGTATTTAAACCAATACGTGATAAGAGCAATTAACACGTTTGTTAATTTCAGTTAGATTAAGTATATACCTGCTATATAGATATTTATTCATTTATCAGAAATTGTATTTAAAGATTTATGAAAAAATATAAAGAAATAATCATTGCAATTCCCTATCAAATATATTTTTATAAGAATTGTTAATTTTTAGTGAACAAAAATAAATAGAAATAAAATTTTATTATTATAAAAAATCTATAGGAAGATTTATTATAGCTAATATAAGTAATATAACTAATTAAATCATCACTTTGCACATGGCAGTGTTATATACTTTATATCATATGTATACCATAATAATAATTATATAAATGTTTACTACTTTTATATAGTATAGATAACTTCTATCAATAAATCAATAGAATAAAAACATTCAATGGAAAATCCCTAAAGCAAAAAAAAAATAAATAAATATTTTATTATTAATTCTCATATTATTTTAATTATTCAATATTTATAAATTACTGTGATTAATTAATTACATAAGATGTTAACATAAATATTATAAACATAAAAGTATCAAAACTTAAATAATATTAAAATTGAATTTTTTAGGCAACTGTTAATAAATATCTACTCTAAAGTAAATATTTTTACTATTCTTCAAAAATATTTATAAATCAATGATGTAATATAGAGTAGTCTAAAAAAAATTAATTTGGGAGTTAAAAACATTCTTTTTAAGAATATATTTAGAATAAAAATAATTTATTTATTTTTGCTGTTTATTTAAAAAAAGTAGGTAAGTTAGCATTGCATTTTTGTAGTATTATAAATATAAATAGTAGCAGTACAAATTGTCCATTTAAATCCAAGACAGTTAAAAATATACAAATTATACATAAACATTTTAAATAAATTGGTTTTAATTAGTATTAAAAAACTTATCTTTTTCATCAGTGAAATGCATTTAAGTATACAATAATTTTACATTATAATAAACATAGGTATATCAAAATTATTCTTAAAAAAAAACTAAATAAATATCTTTTTTTTATGATCAAATTCTTCAATTTCTTTATTAATTTTTTTTTTAGAATTGTTATCAATGTTTTGATGATTGTTGAAAACTTGCGACTTTCCAGCTGAAAACAACATAGAAAAATATAAATATATAAAAACATGGAAATTTTTTTTTTTTTTTTAATTACAATAGATAACAATTCATAAGTCACTTTAATATTGCACATATTAAATTAGAAGTAATAATGACTGTTGCCTGTTGGTTTATAAAATAATCAAATTAAATTTTTTATTACTTACATTCTTTTATTTATATTAACTTTATCATGATATTTTGTATTTAAAAATAATGTGATCATTAATTTTTCAGAATTATCCTGAAAAAAAAAAAAAATATTAAAATAATTAACTAAGGTACAATTTAAATAATTACTTTGGGAATTGGTGAATGAACCTTTGCTTCAAGTACTTGGTTCTCAACCATATCAGCAAAAGATTCACTTATTTCTCGTGAATAATTGTATTCAATACATTTGTGCAAGCCACAGTGTATTGCTTGAGCAGCATATGCGCTAAAAGTTGATTGCAAAAGTCTGATATTTATTTTTGGTACTATTTCAACTGATCCATAATCAACAAAAAACAACTAAAACAATCATTAAATTATGGTAAATTTTATTTTAAAACAATGCAAAAAATGAGATACCCCGAGTATTTTCATATCACATGAAGAATGCATGTCTAAAACGAAACATTAATTAAAAATATTAGATTATAACAATAATATTGAGTATAAAATAAAAATAAAAAATTATAGGAATCGCATTAATGAACGCAAAATAAATAAAAAATTATCTAATTAGTAAAAACAATAAGTAAATGTTTGATACCTACTAGTAATATTAATAATTGAACTATTTATACAGTAACATTTTTTGTTAAAGAATATCAAAATATGCTAAAATGATAGGAATAATATTTAGTAAAAAATATAAACATAAACAATTTAGATTTTTTACATTCTTCAACATATTTATATTTAACCTTGCCATGCTCTTGATTATTGTTTAATACTTTTTTTTTATTACTTTATACGTGTACTTTTATATGAATATATTAATTTACTGTACAAATACTAATTTAAGGTTAAGCAAATAAATGTTTTGTATAAATATAATGATATATAATTCATAATATTTCTTTTATTAAATGAAGATTAAAAAAAATTTAAGTGTAAAGTTTATAATTACTTCCACATTTTCTTCATCAACTATTTTTAAGACTTTTGCCCTGTGCCACAAATTGGTATCTTTAATACATGAAATACATGCCAATTCTGGGAAAATTAATTTCGGTAAAACCTTGTACTTTTCTTCATTTTCATTATAAAACTCTCTATATAAATTGGAAAAAAAATATTATGTTAAGAATGAAATCATAAATAAATTAAAGAATAAACCAACTGCAATTTGTCCATGAAATTATTCAGAGTATTGACTTCTGTTGCTAATTGAATATAAAATGAACTTGGGTTGTAAATTTCAGCAACAATGACATTGATTAACTTTAAATCATTTAACTTAATTGTATAATACTTAAATCTTCCATTACAGATATCATTGTTCGAGTAATCCAATAGAAAATCATTATCCTATGTTAAAGAAAACAGTGGAATAATAGATCAAACAATATTTGTTTTGTTACAATACTGATTAAAAACAGTTAAAATTGATTTATCTAGAACATATTTCAATTAGTTTTCAAAATTTTATGATTTTTCATAAAAGTTAATAGAAAACTATTGAACAATTCACTTTTTTTATAAAAAATAAAAATCAATGTTTATTTAATTAAAATAAACAAACAATTTCTTTATAATATACCTACCGGTAATGCAAGAACAGATTTTTCATGAAAATCAATCGGATTTATTGGTTTTGATGATTTTGTATAGGCAAAAGGATCTACTGTATACAGCACATCATTTTTTATTTTTACCATTTTGCTTAAAGATTCAAACATATGTTTTTCAGAAGAGTAGCCATAATTCAATGGTTCATATGATCGGCCATAGTTTGACTAAAAAAAAAAAATTACAACTAAAATTAAGTTGTACCAAAACTTATGCAAGTATTGTGTATTACACGATATAATATCATAATTTTGTCAAGTCTAACTCCAGTTCTATACTTATCAAAAATCTGTGAAAGGTTGCCTAATATAGTTTTCGGGATATTAGTATAAAACATTGATGGATCTGAAAATTATATATTTTATCTTTAATAGGTACACATAATAATATGAGATGTTAATTGTATGAAATGAGCACATTTATCATACAAACCATTTAGTTTATTTTCTAGTTCAGTTATTACATGAGCTTCAAATAGAATATATTCTGTGCCATCTTCAGATAATTTTACAAAAAACACAGATGGTAACTTGTATGCCATATCTTTCATGCTACTAAATCCATACTCAGAAAAATTGAAGTCACAGTTATACTCGTTCTATAAAATAATTTTAAAAAGTGGAAAAATAAATAATACCTAATACGTAAGTAAAATTTAACCACCGTATAGTAGGCTAGAACAATTTCATAATAATTTGATGTTTAAAAATAGGTAATTTGTTATAAGTTACAACATTTTGTTAGTGATGAAATAAACTTAATTAGACTATTATATTATGTTATCGTAAAATTAACGTATAATATACCGTATAACGGGCTATTTCTGTTTTTGATAAAAATTTTACTCGTATATTTCTCAATATCATTTAGACATTAAACGTCGAAATGGCATTATGAAATAAATTGATTGGTAAGTAAAGGTAATAAATAATAATATTTTTATTTTTTAAAATATTCTATTTTACCATTAATGCTAGTTACCTATTTTGCTAGATAAATTAGCGCTTGTTACTAGTCAGTTCGAGATATTTAGGATTAAACAATTCTTCTGAACTTTTAGAAAAATCAACTATGACCACTCTAATCTGAGCAACCAAAATTCGTATATTATATTAAAAATCACAGATATTAAAAATATACAAACGATGAAGCATTAGTGCTGCTTCTTGTTTATTTAAAACTTACAAAATACCAATATCAAAATTCACGGACTCAAAGTAAAAACAAATGTTAATATTTATCCAACATATAACTCTGATAGAAATGCTAAAAATCAATATTACCAAGATTTAGCATCATTATTAGTCACTGAAATAAAATTATCTATTACACTAAAGGTGTTATTAGATCATACATATCGACGCTTAATACAGAGAGCATTGTCTAAAAAATTCCAAAAAAAAAAAAATGCAAAATGCATCAACTTAACAAACTTAACAAACACTAATAATAACACAAGTACAACGTTTATTATATTTTATATGTATACATTTAATATTTATAATAATTATATTTGAATACATTACACATTTGTATTATTTAAAATTATGATATGTACATATCATGTATCGTGTAGTAAAAATGTAAACAAAAATAATTTTAAAATAAAAATAAAAATTTGTTGAAAAAAATCAGTTACTTTAGCTTGTTTAAGGTCTTGATGCATATTAACCTACCTAACACGTTCGAATACGATGGAATCACAAATACAACTAAATCCGAGTAGGATAACTTCATTGAACATAATCTAAAAAAATGATTTCATCGATGCGATAATGAACGGATAAGATTAATTATGATTGTATAATAATTTATAATACATAGTAATAAGATTAAATTAAATTGGCATTTCACAATTATTCTATATTAATGATAAAAATTGTCAAAATCAAAATTAAATTGCCATAAAAGTATTCGGTATTTAGGGATTTTCCTATATGAAAGTAGTAAAAATGTCCCCATAGCCATAAAAATGACCGTTATTTGGAGGTGTTTGTTAAGGGAGGTTTTACTGTATATTATAATAATATACTCATTACACGTGTCAGTAATTAAGGCACAAATGCATCATCGAGGTCACCCTTTTGTAACAACAGATTGTACTTGCACGTGTCGACAAATGGGAGTAAAATGCATCCTGTAGGTTGTTATTCTACAATAATAAATATCAAAAAAACTCCAAAGATACCTGCAAAAGGCAAGGCCGTGGGTTATCATATCATGATTTCATTAATAAGGGAGCTCAGAGAGCAGCAATGGCAGATGCACCATAGCTATTAAGACCTGAACATCCCCAATCACTTAGCCACTGTTTTACGCTTCGACACATACCTTATTTTAACTAAATAAATAATGTATAGTTAATTGTTATATTATGTTACAACTTTATTATTCAAGTTGCTTAATATCTGATTGTTGGAAGTACGCACGTAACAATGTATTTTTTATTTTATTAGTGATTTTAATATTGTACGAATCACAGTAAAATACTTTAAATTACATAGATAGTGTAGGATGGTAAAATCCTCATTTTTCCTCTACTAAATATTATTGGCCGATTAATATACAATATAAAAAGAAACACTATTATTTGTAAAACAACTAAACTGAAAAACTAGAACCTACTTATTCTAGCCCACTGTAGACCGGATTGAAAATTATAAATTTTAATTCGCAATACATGTAAATATAATACTTTTAGTTGGACATTTTTATTGATAAGTATAATATAATCAATAACTTTATAACATTAATAAAATCATACAAATATAATAAACATACATTCTATGATAAATATTGTAATGCATACATTAGCTAAGTGTTATTAATAAAATTTTTATCACTAGTAAATACTATAACCTAAAATAATAATATATTTTTGAAGATTCATAATTATTTAATCAAATAATATAAAAATCATAAAATTACCTTATAAACATTTAAAAACTCATTACATAATATACCATTCTTGTGTTTATTTAAAAGGTGTTGTATTTTTAATTTCATTGTTTCTGATATTATATTTGAACCATATTTATTGTATAAATCTATATGATTTCGAGAACTGAAATGCAATAATAATAATAATAATAAAAAAAAAAACAACAGATTAATACACAATAGATAATTGGAAATTTACTTCAGAGAAATAAAATAATATAGTGTTTTAATAGAGTTAAAAAAAATGTATATATCATAATAAAATTCTGGGGGAGTGTTGATTAACTATCGAAAAATATTAATCAAATTAATTATTTTCTTTTAAATAGACAAAGAAATTTTTGTAATAATGGGAGTAAACAAGTATAATAACAATTATTGTATATTTTTAAGTTGTAGTTGATTACTATAAACTTTTGTTAAGAATAAAAAAAAAAAACTATTGATTTGTAAATTAACAATTGTATATAAAAATAAAATAAAAAGTAAATAAACATAACTCACGATAATATTAATACAATTTTAACAAAAAAAATTTAATTTCTTTGTCAGAAATAGTCAACAAAATGTGTTGAACAATTAAAAAATTTAATCTACCTCCTGTCATTAAAAAAATATCGTCTTGAACATTTTAAGTACTTAACTTCGCATAAAATATATATTAACACATTATTAAGACAAAATTATTTGTTATTAAAAAGAATTATAAATATAAATGTGTTAATCTTAAGATATCGTAAACGACGTGATGCTTACTATGCTTGGCATGAACTATCCATAGTAGAATCTTTGTATTTCTGACCATCATTTTCATTTGGAGAAAGTATTTTATTCCTAACAGCTACATTCTTAAATATAGCTAAAAATAATAATAATAAATTAATATTAAATAATTCTAGATTCTAGTTTTTTCGAATTATATAAAAACAAGGGAAATTTGCAGGGAAACCAGTTTTCATTTAAAGTACTAATCTTATACTAAAAACCACCATCGTGTTTGAAGATAGAAACATTTTATATTATCCCAAAAAGGACGAAACACAAAAATAAAAAAGTTAAAAAATCTTTTTATAATAAGTCGAGGGTCAACAACTCAAATTTCAAGGGAGGTAAAAATTAATTCAATTTATATATTTTCAAGTTATATGTATGCATTTTTTATAAGAAAATACGATAAAATTCGAGTTAGCTATAATTGTGTAGATATTTATTCATTACAATTTTATTAAAAGTTTAAATTTCAAAACACAATACACGCATAGTTATTACAATTCCATATTTCTTAAATTTCTATATTTAATACAATTAAAAATTTGTTTTCCTCGACATTTTGCCATACTTTATACATTCCACTGGTTCGAACTCTAAACATTTTGTATAAATCTTTCAATATAATCAGTAATATCTGTTAGACTAATGGGTTTTTACTTTCAAAGTCATTAGATACTCTAGAAAAAGTCTCAAGTTCAATTTTACAAAGAAAAATGAGATAATTAGATGGTTTCTTCGGGAGTTGAGTATTTAGGTTATTTATGTTATCAAAAGTTTTAATGGTTGTCAGTTAGGCCTAGGATTTAAATGACTTAAAAAATCTAAAAAAATGACATAAAAAACTTTAATAATGACTCAATAAGAAAAAATGACCTCATAAAATGCTCGATAAAAAAATTATATTAATAAATTAATAAATAATAATTTATATTTTTAAGTATACAAATAAATCCATCTTCTGGTATAATGGCCAGCTTCATTTGTTCTGAAATTAATATATCTTGAAATAAAATAATATTGTAAAACTAAAAATGTATAAACTTAAATTCAATAATAAATTGATGAAGAAAACATGTAATCGAACATTATTATCGGTTATTGCCCGGTTAGTCCAACGAGTATATTAATTATTATACAAATAATTGGTATTTTGAAATATTAAATATTTTAAGAAAATATGTTTAGGTACGATTTTATTTTAAATTTGTATCTTTGTATGTTTGTACAATAATTTATAACGACCATTTAAAATATCTATTTAAAAATTTATAAAATATTACCCAGATTTAATTTAAGTATAAAAATGCCTGTAAAATTAAAAAAAAGTACAAAAAAATGCAAGGTAAAAACTATATATTTAAACTTATAGATGACTAAATCACATTTTGTGTTTGAAAGTTATATCCTGTAAATGCCTCCCCCAAAATGTAAAATCCTATTCTATTCTAGCATTAGTTATTAGTAATTGATTAGGATCATTTAAAATTTTCAATACATCGTTTAGATAAGTAACCAACAAAGTTAATTATAGAGCATTCTTCCAAAGATAAAGGAAGTAGTTTTTTAATTAAAATAGAAGAACTTGATGACAAGTTCGACCAATTATTTAGTGACTCAATTAGTGGAATTTTTTTTAAATTTTATCGGTTAATTGAAAATAATATTTTTCGATGTCATACATTCTGCTAATGAACAGTTAAACTTTTTTCATCATCAGTTTCACAGCTATATAAATGCAAATGAATAAGTCCCAAATAATCGAGCTGTCGAATTTCTGTTAAATCCATTTTTGTCTTTTAATATGAAACATATTTTTAAGTAGATCTTAGTTCAATCTTTCAGCGAATATAAAAAAAATTCTGTCCAATAATTCAACTACCTATACATTTTTTTCTTTTTAGAATGATTGTATTGAAGCAATTAAAGAAAATACTAGTCCTGTAAAACAGGGTGGTACTGATATTATATTATTTTTACAATAAATTTTTTTTGCGAGTTGAATGTTGAAATCGTTTTATTAATATTTACAAAAACTGGATATGTGAAACTTAAACGAAAACTTGTGGATTTCGAGAACTCATCGGCTTTTAATTAATGTTTATGTCATTTAACTGTTGATTTTTGTACGAATTGAATGTATTATTTAATTTGAGCAAAAAATCAGCAATGCCGAAAACGGTGGATACCATTTCTTATATCTAAACACACGTTTTAAGCGGATGTAACACTTTTACTAAAAATTAAAAACATTTAACAAGCAAAATTGCTGCTATCATACTTTTGAAAATCCTCAAAATCTCCATGAACGATCACTGCACAGTCTCAAATTAACTATTTGGTACGTTGCTTTAAAGAAGTTAGTCATCAATTCCAGCAGTTATGAGGAGCAAAAAAACATTGTGACTATCAACAGTGCCCCTTGCATGGACATGCTTAATAGCTTCTTGAAACCAGAATTACACAGAAGGCGAATCATCAATCCGTTCAATGTATGGTTTCAAAAAGATAGAGCATCTCCTCACATTGTCACTGCCACAATGAATGTCGTATGTAGGATGTTCTCACATTTTGGGGATACGAAATGGTCCCCCAAGTCATCTGACTTGACGGTAAGTGACTTTTTCTTTGGAGATATTATAAGTCAAGCGTTTATGAATCAAAATCTCGCACATTGGATGATTTTAAAGATGGAATTAGAGCTAAAACCTCATTTATTAATGAAGAATTGCTTCATACACAGATGATGGGCATCATATACCTGACCTGGTGTTTTGAAACATTGATTGGTAAGTATAAAATGTGTTTTGGGTGATACCGATAATTTTAAAGTTATTTTTTTTACATTTTTTGACAAAATTAACTTTAAATGTATTTTTTGACGATTTTAGTGCATATTCTTAGTATTTAGAGCATTTTTCACAATTTGCTCATAAAATGAACGAAAATTGTTGCAATTAACAAGAGACTTTCAGCAAGTTTCCGACGATATGAATTATAAATTATACAGCACAATAAGTTATCGTCGATAAAAATTTTATTATAGCTATGCTTTTTCGCTCAAATTATCGTCGTTATATACCTATTTTTATTGTATCATATATACATACATAGGTAAAATTTATAGTTGAAATAATAATTCATGGGATTCTGAAAACCTTTACTAAATTACCTATATCTAACAGGTTCCATAACTAAATTATTATTATTTTACAACTTACATGCAGCACTCAAGTTTCTCCTTATAGTATGTTTTTGTTTGTATAATCCCTTATTTTCTTCTGGATTTACCATATTATTTACACAGGGCTGATCCTCAGACTAAAAAAAAAGTATAATACATTTTTTTTTAAATTTAAAAGTATAGAATAGTTTCAAAATTGTAAAACAAATAATTAGGTTACACGAACGCATTGATAATAACTGCAATGGAATTTTTTTTTAATTTATAAATATATTATTGTGCTTCATAGCACGAGCCTTCATTGATAAAGACACAAATAAAAAAATAAAAATATTTTATTGTTATAGGTGAATATCCAGCTTCCGTGAAAATATGTGATTCTTTGTGAAAAAACTTAACTTTGAAGGATCTAAATCATCGGTACAAAGAATTTTGCATTCTTTTAATTCTAAGTATAAAAAGTATAGTAATAGTCGGGAATTTATAATGGAGCGGAACGATATTGTGCACTTCAGAACCAGTTTTGAAGAAAAATGTGTTCTCTATGTTCTAGTTGTGATATGAGACCTGTTAGTCGAGACTTGAGTGAACCAAAACCATTCGAAAACTATATTTGGTAAAATTATATGAGTAGTGAAGGGTTTAGAGTGCCAACTGGTAAAGGAAGTCGTTTATTGTACGTCATGCTGGAGCAGCTATATTTAGTTTTATATTTAACTCTTAAGTAATATTTAGAAGTAAAAGTGACGGTGATTATTATTCACATATAAACAGTGAAATATTACATAATTAGTTTGAAAACGTGCTGCATTTTTAAAGTAGCCACTAGTCATTGTGATGGATAATGCTTCTTATTATGACGTACTGGCCAAAAAAGTACCAACGTCGAACACAAGGAAAGCCGATGTATAAAAATGGCCGAGATATAAAGACGTTGAATTTTCTCCAGTAAAAACTTTATCTGAACTCTAGGAAATGGTAAAATTGCAAGATCACGAGAGAAACGATATCAATTGTATAATTTGGCTAATCAAATGGATCCTATTAATCCCATTAAATTAATTTGGGCACAGGTGAAAGGTGAGGTGTTTCCAAAAAAAACACTTTCAAATTGCTGATGTTGAAAAACTTATAAACATAGTACTTAAAATGCACTTAAAATCACTGGGAAAAATGTGCAAAACGTGAAGAAAAACTTCAACATTAAATTTAAAATTTTAGAGGGAAAAAGTTTAACAACCGTCGACGATAAATTGCCATATGGCACGCTGTGGTCATCCGCATGTTGTCAACCTAACCGTACTGTAGTTTTCAAGTTTAGTTTTTCCTGACTGCTTAATATCAATAATAAAGGTTATTAGAACCTTAACGTTTGTTTAAATATTTTATATAAGTGATTGAGCATCTGAATACATTCAAAATCAGATAACCATATAAATAATTTGGATGCAAGGCTCTATTTTCTAGAAAATGATAATACTTTTCAAAAAAATAAATTTTTGAAATGTTATCCAATTATTAAAAATAATAATAAAGAAAAAATTTTTATTTAAAACAATGTATAGGATAAAAAACTACTAAATTGTAATGAGCTTTCAATATTTTAATTCTGAAATTCAATACAAGCAATAATTAGTAATAATACTTACTTTGGTATGTAAAGATTTAGTAATCGATACTGTTGTTGATATTTTGTATGAATTTTCATCATTCTTTTGAGTTGTGTCATTATTTTTCAAATCATTAAGATCTACATATAAATAATAAAAATAAAAAATTATTGAACAATACTATTCTATAAAGAATTTAAAATTACTAGTTTTTAGTTATATGTGGTTTTTTTAAGGAATTTAAAAAAAAAAAAAAGAATAATGGAATAATTAAAATATTTAAGTATTTGTATTCATTAATGAATAGTAAGTTATGCGATTTTTAATTACCAAACTAGAAAATTTGGAAAATTTAAAATTTTGAGCTAAATGATGAAGTTATTAATTTACAATACATTTTTTTTTTTGTGTTTATATAGACAATAGGTTATCACACAAATGTTTACATTTTCCACTTTGAAGGAGATGATTTCTGATAGTAAATTAGATCTAGTTTTTATTTTAAGTAGGTCAAAATAAAAAACTCCCAGCATTTTTTAAAAAATATAAAAAAACAAAAAGTTATGAAAACAGAGGTTTTTAAGCTAAATCAATCTTTAAAAAATCAATTAAATTTTTTTACTGTAACCACAAAAAATAATAACCGTAAAACTCAAAATTTTAAGAATATTTTAACTCTTTTTTAGTTATTTATATAATTTTTCGTTAATGTCAATAAAAATTTTTTTGTTCATTTTTAATTAAATATTCATTAAAAAATCTTACATAGTTGTACTTATAGGTATGTAAAAGTATTTCAAATACATAGACAAATTAATTTTTATAAATATTTGAAATTCAAATTTTGACTAAATTCACTAAAATAACAAAAATTTGCATAATTGTTTGATTTATATTTTTACAAGGTTTAACAATAATTAAAAAATTCGAAGTCTCTCACTCGTAATGTATGCTTCTATATTAATCGTTAATTACCATCTCGTTAAAATCAAACCAAATACTTAACCATTTTTGTTGTGAAAAAATGTTAAAAAACAAATAAAATTCATAAGTGCTTTTTATCAAAAACTCACCTTCCATCTGGGGCTTTAAACCCCATAGAAATACTTTTTGTAAGTATTTAATTACTCAAATCTATATATTAAAACAAAAAGCTCCCTAACCGCGTATCTGTTTACTTACGTAATTACATTAATTAAAATTAATAATAATTAAACTAAAACTATCTCCCCAATTAAAATTATCAACGAAACATTATACAAAAAATGAAAACAATAACAGCCAGTCAAGCGAGCCTGATACGAACGATGTTATCAATTACGACTGGACGGAGGTCACAAAAATACTACTACGCCTATTTTTTATAGACCTAGAACCAGTACTAAATAATAAAAATATATTCGAGCTCAAAACTCTGTGCCATACTAAAGTCAAAATCGAAACATCTCGAATCAACAAACTAGCGCCACAATGCTTAAAGTGCCAAAACTACGGACACACCAGAACTTACTGAAACAACCATCCTAGATGTGTCCGTTGCGGTGATAAACCAAAAAACAGACACATGTACCAAAATTCGAGATTTCCCTACCAAACGTACGCTATGTAATGGAAACCATCCAGCAAATTATCGCAGATGGCTTGTCTTCAAAAACCTGCAACAAATTCGCAAAAAACAACTACCAAGCAAAAACAAAACAAACAAAATCGAAGAAAACACAAATTGTAAAAACTTTACCTCGTACAACCCTCCTGTCAACAGTACCTCACACCCAAAAAATTCAAATAATAGTCAAACCTATTCACAGGCCACCCAGCAAATTAAAAATCCAATACACAAATAACAAACACCAAAACCAACAAAACGAAAACTTGACAACCCAATTGACTTCCTTTACAAACAAATTTAATACTCTCATTAACCCACTTATCTCACTTTTAAAAACACTCATCGACAAATGAATACTAAACAATGTCAATTGATAACAATTAAACTCCTCCCTTGTCAATATTACTTTGGAACGCAAATGAAATAACTCACAACAAAAATGAACTACAATACTTATTCTTCGACAAAAAAAAAAAAATAAAATAAAAAATAAACATCGATTTAATAAATTACAGAAACCCACCTAACATCAAACAAACACTTTAATATCCCATGTTATACAACTCGTCGAACAAACCATCCCGACGATACTGCGATCTTAATATCCTCTACGCTATTACACTATGCATTACCGATATACCAAAGACCTATATACAAGTCACAAATATCCAAATAGTATCTGACCATATCCCTATTACAATATAATCAGTTTACTGCCCTCTTAGTCAAAAAATTACCCTTCCCCGACTTCAAAAATTTCTAAGAACACTAAAGAATTCATTCATTATCAGCGATGACTTAAATGTAAACCATACTGCATTTGGTTGTAGATCAATCAACAAACTCTAGAGGCCAAACATTTTATAATAAAATCCTAAATAATAACCTTTCCTTTATTTCACCTGATGTCCTAACTTATTGGCAATCCCATAAAAATCGCCACCTCGACATACTAGATTTCTTCATAATCTCGCTGCCAAACCTCTAACAAAATAATATAAAAAACCTTGACGGACTATCTAGTGAACACTCCCCAGTTTTACTTCATCTAGATGGTAAACTGGAAAACATAAACAACACTCTACATTCTGGACAAATTAATTTCAAAAAAAAAAAAAAAAAAAAATAGACGAACATATCTTACTGAAACTCCGATTAAAATCTCACGAAAACATAGACAGCGCTTAGCAATTTCTTATTACAACCACCAAGAAGCATTAATAGATTCAACCACTTCTCCATCAAATATAAACATACCAACAAAATCACACTAATATATTTATTTACCCCAATATTTATAGGAATTAATAACCAAAAAACGTCAAGCTAGAAAAATTTGGCAACAAACACATCTCCCAGATTACAAACACGAATATAACAAACTATCAAATATATTGAAAAAAAAATTACAAATACTTAAAGCCAATCAATTTTATGTATTTTTATTATCATTAACACCAGTCAATGGTTCCTTATGGAAATCAATAAAAACAAAACAAAAAGAAAAGACATAGTTCCCCCTTTAATAAACCCAAACAACACTTTAGTCATAACCAACAGTGAAAAGCCAATTTATTCGGAAACCGTCTATCTGAAATTTCCAACCACGTTCTGATATAAGTTTTAATATAATAATACACGTAGAAAATGTTCAAACTTTTCTTAACAATCCATTAACTATGTCACTACCAACCAAACCAATTACACTACAAAAAATAAAATCATATATTACAAAAATACACAACAAATCTCCAGGATACAATCAAATCAATAACAAAAACCATAAATAGTAAAATTGTAACAATTCGCTCCGTGTTCTTTCACGTTTTTTGGTCGGAAAAGTTGACCGTTTTTTGAATTTTAAAATCCTACATATGTAAAAAAAGTGCGTGTGTGATCAGGTGTCGTTGTTGAGTCTGATCGCTTAAAGTATTTTCCGTTAAGGACCGTTTTCTAGTTTTCTACATCACAACAGACTTATTAAGGTAATAATACTATATTATATCTTATCGTTATATTTCCGTCAGTCGGTCTGCACAGCGCACAAACGCGATAATAGTTATCCGGCACGTGTCAAGGTCAGATTGAACACTCCGTGTCAGTAATTTAATACCTGTTATAATACGGAACAGCGTTATCTTCAATTTGGAATCGTTACATATTATTATCACTCTTTTTTTTTTTGTCACATTTTTGCTGCAAATTGTGTTGCCCATTCAAGTCATTCAAGGCAGTATTTTTAGTTTAGTCGTTCAACAATTTATCTGTCCTGCCTTGTCATGAACCCGACAACCAAATCCAATATTTCTTCTAAAAGTAGCCCATTAGGAAGTGGTCCTGTTCTTCGTAGTGCCTCAAATGGTAGTACATCTACTTCGATGTCTAAACGGACCAATAATACTTATTCTAATGATGATTTAATGAAAGCTATTCTTGATATGCAAAATTCTCAATCCGTACAATTTCAAGAACTCCATGGATGTTTGACCTCTTTAAAAAATGAAATCTCTGAACTTAAAAACGAGAATATAGCACTTCGCCATGAATCGTCTGCACTTTCTGCTCGAGTGGCTCAGTTGGAATCAAAACCGGCCGTTACTTCGGATTCTGAAGTGTCGTCAAAACTACTTCGTGAAATCTCTGAGAGAAATTCTTCTGAATATAACGTAATTATATATGGTCTTCCTGAGTCGAATTCGCCTTCAATTAATCAAAGAATCTCTGATGATTGCGCTGAGCTATCTAGTGCTTTGTCACCCATTCAAATTGATTTACCTATTGATTTCAAATTAATTCGCCTTGGTAATAATAAGGCCCGGAAACCTAGACCGATAAAAATAATTTGTAAGTCAAAAGAAAATGCAGCTCAACTCATATCCGAATTCAGGCAGGCAGTTAGAAGTGGAGTTAGTATTCGTGATGATCTTCGAATAACCCGAGATAAGACTTCGTTGGAACGGGAGATACTCCGTACTGCTCATATAGAACTTGATAATAGAAACAAATCAGGCGAGTCAAATTTAGCAATATCCTATGTTAAAGGTGTCCCTACGGTTACAAAGTCACACTCAAAAAACGGAGTCACTGGTCGGGATTGAGACCAGTGAATAATCAATCATACCTTAATGAATTACTTAATTCTAATTTACATGTTTCTTTTAATCCAACCTGTAACAAATGTACTGATGCTAACCTATTGTTTGATAATTTTTTAATAGAATTTACCGATTTTATTAAAAAGCATACTAATTCCAATATTCCTGTTAATAATATTAAGTCACATATTTTTTCAAATAATAATAAAAATAAATCATCTTATAATTTGCAATGTAACTTTCCTAGTATTAGTCTTAGTTCTAAGTTTAATCTTAAAATTATGTACCAGAATGTTCGTGGGCTCCGGACTAAGTTACATGATGTAATATCTAATTTTCCTATACTTAATTATGACATATTTATACTAACTGAGACTTGGCTCTCCTCGGATATTGTGGATGCAGAATTAGGTCTTACTGGATTTATAGTATTCAGAGCTGATAGAAATGTATATACCAGTACATGTACTAGAGGTGGTGGGGTCTTGATAGCGGTGAGACAGACATTATGTCCCTCTTTATTATGTTGTGCTGTACAGTCAGTCGAACAGCTATTTATTAAATTATCTTTATCTAAGAAATGTTTATTACTAATAGGAGGAGTATATATACCACCGTCAGCCCCGATCGAGTTATACACGGCACATGCTGAAACTGTTGATGAATTGTGGCAGTCTTCTGGGTGTAATATGGGAATTATATGTGGTGACTTCAATTTACCAAATGTTAATTGGCATAATAGTACTTCAGGATTGTCATTATCGGGTACCGTTAATGATAATGTCAAGGCAATAGGTGATATATATCGTTTTTTAGATTTTTCACAAAATAATTCCATTAGAAACCATATTGGTTCACTCTTAGACCTTGTTTTCACATCTGAAATAGACATAGTTGTTGACACATCACCAGACTCATTAGTTACGCCAGATAAGTATCATCCACCATTAAGCATTACATATTCCATGCCCGATGTGCCACCTCAATTGGATGATCAACACTCATTTCGTAATTTCAATTGTGCCGATTATAACTCGATTACTAATAATATGAGCTCCATTAATTGGGAAAGTGAGTTTAACAATATTGGAATTGAAGCTGCAGCTAATCGTCTACAAACAATTTTAATAACGTTAATTGAGCAATATGTACCACTCCATATATTTCGTCGCTCAACTTTCCCCAAATGGGTAACACTCAAATTGAAACGTTTAATCATTAGCAAAAAAATTGCACACAAAAAATTGAAACAGTTCGGCACAATGCACTATCGTCATAGATTTTCTTTATTACGTGCTCAAGTAAAACTTGAGTCAAGGCTGGCATATGAGTCCTATCTAGGTAAGATTAATACTTCCCTCCAGAATGACCCACATACATTTTGGTCGTTTATCA